CACTCTTCTTCCCTGGAAGAAATATTGCGGGCACCTGTAGAGGAGGCCCCTGTCACTGAGGCTCCCCCACTCCTCCAGCCCAACACCAAGCCAGCCAGGAAGCAGCTAAGAGACAGCTCTGAGGTTTTACTCGGAGTCTGTTTTGTGAGGATGCCAGCCCGCTTTCCTCTATTTGTTAAAAATAAATAAGGATAATATCCATTCGGATAGCTACCTTGAGACTTATGCAAAATATGTTTATAACGTAGTTGGAACAATCCCTGGAATCCGGTAAGGTCTCTGAAAACTTAGCTCTTGCTCTGGGAATACGTTCCTCTGGTGTGCGGATCAGGAACGTCCAGCTTGACTATCCACGCATGTGTGCATGCGAGTGTGTGTGCATGTGGATTTCAGCACGCCAGAGCCAGAGCAGCATCTCGTGGTGCTCAGCTGTCCGTGTGCAGGAGGGGAAGAAGCCCCATGCACCTCACGCGGTCACTGCTAAGGATGACAATAAACACGCGGGAAAGCCCCTGCTAGTGTCAAATTCCCTAGCAGGACACAGAGTATAAGAACTTAAAGTGTGTGGGCGTTCATAATTACAGGAGAAGGAAACAGGACTCTGGGGCATCACTGTTCTGACTTCCTGCTCAGCGCCTCCCTGCCAGAGGGTCAGAAGGAAGCGGTGGGCTCCTCCGGACGCTGAGACACCCAGGCAGAAAACCAGGCCTGGCCTTGGGAGCCCGGAGCAGTGCCGGGGCTGGGCGAATGCTCAGGCTGCTGGGGCTTTGGTCTGGACTTTTCCAGGAGCCCCTTCTGAAACCTGGGCAGCGGGCAGCAGGGAGCCACTTCAGCCTGGCCAGCAGCTCCGGGTGCCTGCCCTGCCTCAGCTCAGCCCCAGGTTTCTGGAGTTGGCTCCCGGGGCCTGGGAAACAGCACAGTACATGCTGTGTTCTGATGTCTCCTCACTCCATGTTGGTTATGTCCCTGTTTCCCCGAGTCCCTGATAAAATAATGAGTTAACAGCTTTCGTGTTGATGCCGCGGCCCGGTTCTCAGCACACAGTAGGAATTAAGCTGCGAAAGCCCAGTGATTACCTCATCATTCCATTTTCTAGCTCGGGAAGCTGAGCTACGGCGGGGAGATCGGTGGTTCACCGAGGATGCAGTGGGACCCAGGGACTCCTACCTGGGCGGGTGTGTGCAGCTGTTTCTCAGGGCGCTTACGAGTGTCAGTAGCTTCTGGGAGGAATTAACTGTCGAATCCTCCTAACGTGTGCTGGTGTCGCCATCTCTGTCAGCCTCGTCGTACCCATGGGGAAACTGAGGCACAGAGGGTCAATATTTCCCTGCAGCCACACTGCTGAGAAGTGTCAGCGAGAACTGGAATGCTTGACCTCTGTGCGTGCCAGGCTCCATGCCAACCTATCTGGCCCCCTAAGTAGGCACCGAGCTGGATGTAGGACTCGCTCTGTGACCTGACTTGCCTGGGGAACATCGTGGTCTGGGGAGCTGAGTGGAGGCTTCTCCACGGACACTGGGCTGCCCCATGCCCTTGGCCCTCTTCGCGACTCCTTGTGCCCAGGACTTGTTCTGCTGCAACGACTCAGAGGATAAAAGACCAGACAGGAAGTGCCCTGGCCTCTGCCTCGATTCTGCAGGGCATCTCTGGATCTGTCTCCTCCACCACAAAAGGAGAAGTCAGTGCAAACAGATCCAAATCCCTCCAAGGTGTGTTTCGGGGGACAAGATGGTGCCTTCACCGGGGTTCCGTAGTCAGATAAGTCTCAGAAGTGCTGCACAGCCTGGCCTTCGTCAGCAGATGCTCCGAAGCTCTGCTGGCTTAGCCTGGTGTCTCCTCACGCACAGGATACTTAAGGCCGTGTCCGTTAACCCTTTTACACAGAGTGCGTGCAGAAGCGCTGGCCTCTGCTGTTCCACTCCTCCCTCACCCAGAGCCGGCCCAAACCCAGTCACTGAGTTCCCCTGCGGGAGGTGTCACCCCTTGGTGCCAGCTCTCTGCCTCCCCCCGCTGTGGATCCACCACACCGCAGGTCCCTGGGTCCCTGACTCTCTCTGGTGTCTGATCCTCCATCAGGGCAGGGAAGGGGACAGGGGTGTCTTCCAACAGCTGGAGGTCTGAGCACCCACAGCTGGCAGGAGGGAGATCTGCTTTTCCAGCCAGCCCTCAGGAGGTTTCCTGGAGGAGCGGGTCTGGCAGTGGGCCGCAGTGACTCTGTAGACTTGCTGGGGTCAGGACTGGACGAGGACATCCTGCTCTGGCAGTCTGGAGACAGCAAGGGAGGGAGGGGGCCCTGTGTCTCCTCCGCCATCTGGAGCGCCCTGACTCCAAGCCTGGTACGGACTCCACACAGCAAAGCCAGGTGCACAGGGAAGCTGGGGCTTCCCCTTCAGATGGCTCAGCCTGCAGGGGTTGAGAAGCAGCTGAGGCCATCTGCTCTGCCAGAGCTATTCTTGCTGTGATTCACCCCAGCAGCTCTCTGCAGGTTTCCTTGTACCCACCTGCACTGCGTCCTCAACGAGAAGGTCCTTTTCTCTCTCATTGTATATACTCTAGTGACGTTATTGTGCTGTTTGTTTGAGACAGGGCCTCACCACGCAGTTCAAGCTGGCCTTGAGCTCACTACATGGCCCAGGATGGCCTCGAACTTGTGGTAACCTTCCTGCCTCCCAAGGGCTGCGATTACCGGCGTGTGCCACCATGCCTGGCTCCTGGTGTGTTTTTAGAAATGGAGCTCATGCCACTTCTGATTTAGCACAGAGGGAGGAGAAGGTAAAGGACCAGACTTTTAGGAGTAGAAAGTTGTTTGTTCTTTTATTTTGCCAATCAGCAAGCATTTACTGATCACCTACTCTGTTCTAGTTGCTGTGCTGGGTGCCACCCAGAGCAGCATCACACGTGTTCTTTTCCTAAGGTGCCCACACAGGGGCCCCACAAAGGCATTGCTCTCATCACAGCCATGAGGCTTCTGGACATGGCTGCTGTGTCCCAGTGGGAAGTTGGGCTTCTTGGTAGGGGACCAAGAAGTGACCATGCACCACAGGGCTCCCGGAGACATCTCCAGAACAGCCCTGCCCAGGAAGCTTCCAGGGAGAAGAAGAATGTGCAAGTAAGGAGTGCAGAGGCCAGCCCAGCCTGCCCGAAGCACGGTGGAGGGCTGGGCTGGGAGCTGCTTGGGGAGCTACCCAGGCTCAGGCCATGAGCGACACTTCAGCGGTGTGTGAGTCCGAGCTTCACATCGAGGGCTTTTAGCAGAGAGAAGACTTGATAAAGTACAGGTCGTTAGGGAGCTCTTCCCTCATTCCCAGCTGAGCTGAGACCCAATGACAGAAGGCCAGGCCCTGGATTTCAGGAGAACCCTGAGCCAGTCAGAGGCACCGCCCTCCAGCCGGCAAATCTGTTGGCCGGGAGACAGGGAGCACCAGGGCCGGAGCTGTTGGGGCTCAGGGGTCCCTCCCTGGGGCTCTGGCAACCTCTCCTGCCTAGAGCAGTTGCTCCTCACCCCATAGGAGGGGCTGCCTGGAACTCACCCCTCCTGTTCACATTTTATGTTGCTGTTGATTCTGAACAGGAAAAGAGCAGAAAATAGAACTGTGTTCAGGGCAGATGCCAACTGGAGGGTTTTTTCCTTTCACTGTTGAACTGGGTGGGGAGGAGGAGGCAGGGGATGTGGGCCTTTGTCTAGGGCTGCTGAGGGTGGAGCAGTCGCCCTCAGGGCAGCGCCCAGGTTGGGGAGCCAACTAGGGGATCTGAGACCTACTCCTGACCCGGATAGTCTTTGCTCTGGGGGAAGAAGGCCTCCCTCTCCCTCACCACTCTGGAACGAGGGGATGGCCTTGGGAGCGGGCAGAGCTAAGTCTGGCTGGGCAGAGGTGCCAGCAGGCTTTGGACAGAACCCAGAGCAGTTCAGGCCTTGGTAGTCCTGGAGGGACTGGGAGAGGAAGAGTCAAGGGACCCTGTCCAGGGTCAGCCGTACAGGGAGCACCGGGCTCTGGCACCCTGGTGCCTACGTACATGAGGCTGAGCCAATGCCCTTGCCTTCTTGGCTTCATTTTTACATCTGTAGAGTGGGTCTCCCTCCTTCAACAAGGCCCTAGCAAGGAGCCTAATACAATTCTTCCAGCTCCCACACACCCCAGTAAAATGAACCCCTGGGCTGGAGGGCAGGGGGGCCACGGCAGGCAGGGACATGTTGGCCACGGGGTCCCAGGCCCCCTGGAATTCACATCTTCCCGGAAGCTGCAGGAAGCAGCCATCTGTGCCTGCAGGGCCTCTGGATCTCAGAGGAGGGTCCCTGGGCCCTTGGGAACTGGGCGGTGTGGACAGGGGTAGGGATTGCTCTGGCCATCTGAGTTTGTTTCTTCATTTGTAATGCTAGCCTGTGACAGAGCAGGGAGGAGTGAGCAGAGGACAGAGGGACCGTTGTTACCATGCACATCCCCAGTGCCTAGCGTGTGTTGAATGAATCAGGAAGTGTAGTGCTCGGCACCGTGACAGGCACAGAATCGGAGCTCAGTAGTAGCTGCTCTGTGTGCCTGCTGCCCTGGGTGCTTTCTGACAGAAGCATTCAATGCTCAGGGGTCTGAACCACACCCAGCCCTGGCCCTTCCAGGGCAGCTGCACAGGAAGGGCCGACTGCCCGAGTCACGACACCCGTCATCTCCAATGTGTGCCGACCAGGCTCTGCACGCTGTCTCCTCAGAGGAAGTGGGGCTCTGGGTGTCTGCGAGGGGTCACCGCACCAGCCCGCCCTGCCTCGGGTGGGGCACCTCACTGCCTCCCAGCTCAGCTCCCTGCAGCGCCAGCCTGCCTGGCCTCCCACCTCCCAGTCCTGACAGGATGGAAGGCTGCGGCCAGGAGGCCCTTTGTGTGTCCCTCCCTCCGGTCCTCCCTTCTCGCCCTCACCACCTTCCCCAGAGGGCCGCTGTTGTGTAGGACTCTGCTGCCCGCCCAGTCCTGGCCTCCAGCTGGCCCAGCTGAGATCTGAGACAAAGGTCAGATTTCTGTCCCAGCTCCTTACCAGCTGCCGGGCAGCACTGTCCAGCTTTCATTCACCAAGAGCCTAGAGCGTCCTGTGAGCAAGATCAGCAGGTGACCTGTGGGCTGTGGGGCTGCAGGGCCTCAGTCTAGGGCCCCTGGATGGTGGGGTCAGAACAGAGCAGATGCCACCAGGGAGCTGGCAGTGCCACCAGCTGAGCCACCTCTGGGAGAGGCCACTGAGCCCAACCGCCAGAGCGGAGGTGTGGGGGACAGGCTGGCTAGGTGCTGGAGCTTAGTGCCCACCGTGTGCTGAGCCGGGGGGAGCCCTAAGGACGGCCAGGGAGGCCAGGCTCCGGGCGGTGCCAGGAAGCACTCAGCAAGGGGTGCTGGAGCTGGCAGAGAGTACAGAAAGGGCCTTTGGGAGGAAGGACGGCTTTGGGGGAGACTAGAGGTCAGGAGGGATGGGCATGTTGGGGTGTGGGTAGCCGGGCCAGCAGGGCAGACTTTGTAATGAGGAGGCGGGGAAGTGGGGTGCACTGCTGTCCTGGCCTGCAGGGGGAGGGGCTTCCCGGAGCACCTGGTGAGAAAACCAGGAACGTTCAGGCAAATCGGGGTGAGTCTGTCTCTCTTTCCAGAAGCAAATGAGTTCTGACAGAAATCAGGACCTGGAGAGGGCCAGGGATTGGGCTCAGTGGCTCTACCAAAACAAAAGAAAGAAAGAAAGAGAGAAACTGCCTAAGAAATAAGGAGCCGGAGCCGGCCCAGGTCACAGAAGTTTGTGAGGGAAGAAGAGCAAGCGCGTTTTACAGACTAGCCCACCTGCTCCCTCCGTTCTCGTGAGGAAGGTAGGGTCAGCACAGGGAGACACCGTTCTAAGTCTCTCGTCATGTAAGTGGCAGGCCTGGCCCCTCTAGGCGGTGTGTTCTGTTTCAGAGCGAGTTCTGGAACCATGGAGGCGCCTGTCCAGTGGTGAGGTTTTGAAAGGACAGTGGGGAACTGGCCCCAAAGCAGGGCTGCCTGCATCTCTCCGAGGTTGGGCCTCAGAGTCTCCAGGAAGACGGGGCCGCCCTGTGATCCTTGCTTTCTCTGGCCGTGGCAGTGGACAGTTCCTGCATTATTTATGCCCCACTGTCCATGCCAGGTTCTGGCCAGAGCAGGCTGCAGTGAGCAACATGGGGTCGATGAGGGCCCTGGCCTGGCCACACTGTGGTCATTCCCAGTGCAGGGTGGCAGTGTCCAGGCCATCGGTGCAGGGCACTGACAGGGAGGCCACCCCTCACGGAGCAGGTGATATGAACTGCCACACTCCAAGGTCAGCAAGAGCTGGTCCAGGTCTGGTTCACCCCTGACGAGTGCAGGCCACCTGGGGACAGACATGGAAGTGTCCATGGGCTGACAGGCCCAGACACAGCAGGTGGGGAAGACCAGGTGGTGGGAAGGCCAGCCAGGGCTCAAGGGCCTGGCAGCCGTGTGGCAGGAAGCACACATGTCTGGTCAGAGGGCACAAGTGTTTGGACAGGTGTCCCAGGCTGATGACAGGAGTCTGGCAGGGAAGCCAGATCCTGTGCCCAAATCTGTGGCAAGGTTGGGCCTACAGATGTCCAGGTGGTCTGCCTGGAGAGGCTGCCCAAGAGCCCACTGGCCTTAGGAGGCGGGATCCTGGGTCAGTGTCGGGCCTCAGCCAGGGCGGTGGGTGGAAATGCTGAAGGAGGTATCTCGGCCATTGTTGAAAAGTGGAGCAGGACAGTTGTGGGAGGAACAGGCTGGGCGGGACTTCCTGCTTCCCCCTTAGTGACTACAAGGCTTTCAAAGCAAGGATGCCTGCCACGAGTGCCACATGGGGAGAGCCCACGCCTCTCTGTGTGGCTGTGGGGTGCAGCAGGAACATAAGAGCTGGGTCCTGCGCATGAACCTCGCGGGAGGAACCTGGGAGAAGGAGACAGAGTCATTTCCTATGGGGATAGAATTTCTTTTAGGGGAGTAAAGACCATTTGGAAAAGTGGTGGTAATTGTACAACACTGTGCATGCAATTAATGCCATCAAATTGTACACTTGAAATACTTAAGACAACAAATTGTTTTATACATCTATGTAAAAGAGAGACATGTTTACATATAGCATATATTTATATCTGTGTAAAAAAAGAAAAGAAAATGAAAGTCATGGAGACCAAGGAAAGCTGCAGACGAAGGAGATGAGGAAAGCAGAGGTCGATGCGGTGACAGACTGGAGCCTGGGGCAGAGAGGAGCGTTTACTGTCCGCTGAGGAGAAGCTGGTGAGGCCTGGGTCACGGCTGGCGTTACGTTCAAAGTGTCTTTCCAGTGCTCGTCTCTTCCCTTTGACAAACACGCCGAGGTTATGTAAGATGCTCACATTAGCAGGAGGCGGGTGAGGGAGCCGTGGGAACGCCGTGTTCTCTGTCCCATTTGTGTAACTCTAACACGCAGAGGAGGCAGGGCCGCCAGGGACGGCTGGGTCAGCCTTGGCATCGGCCCTCGGCTCCCTCCAGGGAAGGCTGCATGGCCTGGGGGTGGCGCTCCGTTGGCAGGAAGACAGAGGCCTGTAGTGGGGTCACGCGGGAACAGCTCCCAGCAGCAGTGGGTCCGGGGGGCGGGCTCTGGGCTCCCTCAGTTCAGGGACTCTGCTTCAGCTTCCTGGCTGCCTCCAGCCTGCCGGAGAGCCTGCCAGCTTCTCCCTACCAGCTGCCCAAGGTGCGGCCTCACACAGGGTTACCCCACTGCACTTGCTGTCATGCCTGTGTCTAGCTGTCTCCCCAAGCCCCATGCGGTCAAAGGTGGGGCTTTTCCGAGGTGGCTGGATCTGCAGTGTGTGATGCTGGGATGAAGAATGTGTGATCTAAATCAGTCCACTGATGGGTTTGGCACCGCCCTAACCCTGGCAGCCTAGAGAGAGTACAAAAGGGGCTGAAGGAGGTCCCTTGCTCGGTTACTTGTTTTGCTCTCTTCCGCCTGCCATGAACTGTTTCTCCTCTTCAATGCCCTCTGTCACGCCACCCTGCCTTGGCACTAGCCAGTTACAGCCTGAAACCTCTACCAACTGTGAGTCGAAATAAACCTTTCCTTCTTTGGCTTTGGGTGTTGGTATTTTGTCTCAGTAATGAGAAAACTAAGACACGTGCGTTCAGTTTTTCAAGGCTCAGGCCCAACTCCACCCATGGAGCTCTCTTGATGGCCATGGCCGGTGCCTCACTGGAGTGGGCCCCTGCTTCTGTGCAGAGCTGCCTCAGGGCATGGCATGAGGAACACCTTGTGAAGGAGGGAGGAAGGTCGGGACGTGGGTGGGACAGTCAGAAAATGCTGCCAGCCCAGCCCAGCAGGCAACGAGTGTCCTGTCCTCCCAAGCCTTCCTTGGGAAGCAGGAAGAAGCCATGGCCTGGGCTAGCGGTGCCCGCTCACTCTGAACCTGGGGCAGGTTCCTGTGCTCAAGAGGGAAGAGTCCTCCAGGGTAGGGCTGCCTGGGCATAGCTGTGGGACCCCGGACACAGAGAACAGTCTGCTACAGCCACCAGCCTGGCCTGGGCAGGCCTGAGCAGCCTGTATTTCAGGGGTGGAGGTGGAGGTGGAATTGGCCTTTCCCACTGGGCCAGGGATTGGACAGAACAAGAAGCAGTCAGGACCCTTGGTTCTCCTCATCCCAGGCTCTTCCCCTTCCCGGACACACTGGTCTCCACCTCTACCACTCCATGCATGGACTCTCTGCCAGCACTGTGGGCCTGCACACAGGGAGGTCAGTGTCTGAGATAGCAGAGCACTGGTCACTGCAAGCTCCTACAGCGATGTGGACAGGGACAGGGAGGGACAGACGGGAAGTGCACCTCCAGTGAGTGCCCACTGTGTACCAGGCCTGGGGCCAGACTCTTGGAAGGCAAGTGTCCTTGAATCTCACTGCCAGCTGCAAGGTAAGTGCAGCACCCACTTTATCAATTGGGAGCCTGAGGGTGGCTATGGGAGGACCCTCCTACATGCGAACAGACCAGGCGGCACATGCTTGTGTCTTAGCCTCAGGAATCTGTCTCCTCCCTTGGGGCTGCGGTGGGGTGGATCTAACTCCCAAGCAGCTAGGGTTAATATCCAAGCTGAGGGACATTCAGAGCGCCCAGGAGTGCCGCGTGGGTGGACAAAGGGCATATTTGGTGGTGTCATTTGGCGCATGTGTTTGCGAGGCAAAGTTCTTATGGACAGAGGGCAGGGCTTGGTCAGGAGGAGGTGAACAGTATGTCCTGCTTGGGCCTGGGGACACAGCCCTGGAGCACTGCCCTGCCTTCCCTCTCCAGGTCCGCCGCCAGGCTGTGGGTCCCTTGGTTGCTGTCTTGTCCTTGGAGAGGCCACACACACCTGGGAGGAGTCCCGGAGGTAGACTCTGCTCTGTCCTCTGCCCCTGACCTGTCTGTCCCTCAGTGGACTCTTCCAGTCACACCCGCACAGCATCCTGGCGACACTCCTCACCCCCTGGCATCACCACACAGCAGCCCCAGGAGGGTCCCCTTGGGTCAGGTCTGGGAAGTCTCCACATCCTGGGTCCCTAGAAGGAGGTGCGTGTGAGTTCAGGGCTGTGCTTGCTCTGGAGCCCTGGGCCTTCAGAAGGGAGTTGCAGCCCGGGTGTCCTAACTGGAGCCCAGGCCACTGAGGACACGCCTGCTTGCTGCAGAGCTGCCCCTGTGAGCGGCACGGGCCCATGATGCCTGTTGGTTGGCTTAGGTGCTTGCCCCACTCCTGCAGGCCAGAGAGGATGGTGTGGCCTGAACACCCTGGGGCTAGAGGTTGTTGGGTATTGTCCTGCCAACTTCCCAGAAATCCCAGAGAGCTGAAGACCAGCTTGCTCTGTGAGGTGGGGCCTAGCAGGACTTGAGGGCTGCCCTGAGCCCTCCCTGGGCCATCTGAGGAAGGTGGGAGGCCACGAGGGGACTGCCAGCACGGAGCACTTGGTGATGCCTGGCCCTCCTTGCCATGCTGCGTTCTGTGCTGCTCCAGAGACCCACCTTGGGTGATTTTGCCCTGTGCTCCCTCTGAGGAGGGCCTGGAAGGCACGAGCTGGGGACTCTGAGCATCAGCTCTGTCACTGCCTGACAGCAAGTGGAGCTCAAGGTGGCAAAGTCACCAGTGCAAAAACTGCTGGGCCATGTGATGGGAACAGAGGTCTGGCAGGCTTCCGGGGAAGGGGCTGGCCGGCTCTGGAGGACTGATAACCACCACACCAGGGTCCACGTTTTTATCTTAAGTATGGAAAAGAGGAAGGGTTCAGGCATGGCTCAGTGGCAGAGTGTTTGCCTATCGTGCCAGAGCTGGGGTTCCTTCCTGGGCATTGCAAAATGAAAGTATAACATGAAGGAGCTGTCAGGCCAAGCAGCACCCTGGCAGAAGGAACAGACTCTGCAGAAATGCAGAGGTGGGGACTGTGCTGGGTGGAGAAGAACGGGGAGGGGGCACGGTGGTACACACCTGTAATTACAGAGCTTGGGAGGCTGAGGCAGGAGGATCACCATGAGCTCGAGGCCAGCCTGAACTACATCGCAAGACCCTGTCTCAAAAAACCAAAAATAAACAGAGAAATAAATAACCATAACAAAGAAAACTCAAGTAGCAGCAGAAGCAGAACAGAAGCATGCTCTGTGAAGTAGTGATTCCGGCAAGCTGGCCCAAGCAGACCTCTTAAGACTGGACACGCCCAGCTGCAGATGGACAGCTCCACGGACCTCGGTGCTGGACCCAAACACAGAACGGAGCAAGAGAATTCTGCTGTTGGACCAATCGTGCCTTCTTCAGGCTGACAGCGCAGGGGCTGGGCTGCAGCTGGCTCTGCCACCCGCATGGAGGAGCCAGAGCAGTTAATTTCAGTGGCCTTTGGGAGGAGATACGGACGCTATGGGGATGACTAAGCTAACTCCAGGGACAGGGAGGACAGCGCATCCCAGGGACGGCAGCCCTGCTGAGTTTCTCAGGAAGCTCCGTGGTGCCGATTCGGGCACAGGCCTCGCCCCTCAGTAGCGCAAGGTCCCGCCCGGCCTGCCCAATTTTCTAGTCTCCTTGCATAGCCTCGCAGTGGCCGGACCTCAGTTCTGCACCCTCGTAAGCCTCCAGGAGAAGCTAACCCTCTCTACACTCAGCGTCCCGCACCGTGCAGGCTCTGAGCACAAGCGGAAGCAGCCAGTCCATCCTCTGAGGGCCCAGTAGCCATGAGGCGGGGGGTGGGGGGGTGCCTCCAGGTGGCGTCTTTGTCTCTAGCCTGTCGGGTACACAGACATGCTCAAGCCTGGGCGGGAGAGGCGGCATGGGGGACCATTCTGCAAGGGTGCTGGGGGCCTGCGCATCAGCCTGCAGGGAGATCCCTTTTGTCCACAGAGCAGGAGTGTGCCAGAGTCGACGGTCCTGTTTCCTGAAGCTTGTGTATCACGCTGAGGTCAGATCCACATGCTGGCCAGCGGCCTGCAGGGCCTGTCTTAGGCTGGGTGCCCGGCAGTGGCTGGAGAAGGGTGGACAGGAGGTGGAGGAGCCAGCCTGCCCTGTGTCTCTCCAGGCTAAGCTGGTGAAAGGGGGCCTCACCTTACAAGCTGAGGAGGGTCAGCTGCCAGCTCAGGCCCAGGCCCAGGCCCTGTCCTGCTGAGGCAGGATGCTAGGAACGCTACCTCGGAGAAGTTCTTCTGGAAGGAGTAGGAAACTCCACCAAGCTTCCCCGAGTCTGAGGCACAGATGGAACAGGAAGAAGCCACGTGGAGGGAGGAGAAACATAGGTGTGTGGGCTGTAAGCCAAGAGAGTTCCGCCCGCCGCACTGGCTGGGCACCTCCAGAGCACTTACCGTCAGGTGGCACCTTCACTGCCAGCTCCGAGGTTAGGAAGCAAGGCCAGAGAGGGTCATGGCCTGGGGGGACCAGTGTCTGGGCCTGGGCCTTCCCTGGGCTAAGGGAGCGTGCCCAGGAGAGACACCGAGCTGAGACAAAGTGGGGCTGACTGGAGGCCTGCGAAGTCAGACCAGGGAGTTCGTGTGGGGCGATGGTGAACGTCCACATTACCTGAGCGCCAGGACAGGCCTTCTCACCAAGAGCCTCTCCCTCTTGCTGTGGGCTCTGGCTCTACTTCTGGGGGCCGTGAGGGCGCAGTTGGTCCAGGGCATGAGCAGAGTGCTGGGGCTTCACTCTGGGCTCCAACACATGGTAACTGGCTGTCTTTGAGAAGCTCGCTGAAGCTCCTGGCCCTCAGTTTCTTCATCACAGATCTAATAATACGCTGCCAGTTGCTGCAGGATTAGCAGTCCTGTATGCAAAGTGCTGGACATTCAAGCTCAGCAACAAGGAGCTATTACTGTGTGGCAGCTGCTGGCTGCTTCGTCCCCCTCTGCGGTCCAGGCTTTCATCCCCTCCAGGGGCTGTGCCACCTTCGCTAGTGCCGCAGGACAGAGGGGGGTCGCCCAGGGGTTCTGGCAGGTCCTCCTGTCTGGAGAGGCCCTGGACACAGGGAGCCCCTGACCCTGCCTCCCACAGCCTACCCAGCCATGAGAGGAGCCCAGGGCCGCTGGCCCCTGCAGTGCTGCCTCCCCAGGGGCAATTAGCTGTGTCCTGCATCCATTTGTAATGAAATGGAAATGTTTTGATTTCTCTGGGAAGCTGGATTTTCCCCCAAATCCTTGCTACTTTCATCCCTGGACATGAAACAGCCCATTCTAATCTCACAGTGGGGCGGGGGCTTTGATCAGGGAGGGAGCCGGTGGTCCTTGCCCGGTGCTAATGGCTCCATGCATTATTGAAGAGCCGTTTCCAGAGCAGTCGTATCAGGGAGACGTGGGGGCTGTGGGCTCCACGTCAGCGGCTTCTCCCCTTCCTCGGGATGCAGCGCTGCAGATCAGGCTCCTGGTGCAGAGGTCGCTGGAGAGCAGCCCGTGTGCAGCCAGCAAGTGAGGAGGGATGTGCACGGTGCCTTCTCTGCTCACAGTTCTTCTGACCCAGAGGCTGAGTGGTGAAGGGCTTCCTGGGCGGGGAACTCAGCGCACCATCTTCACCCGAGGCCTCGGCTGCCTGGGCTGGGTCTGGCACTCGACAGTGTTTTTGCTCTTTTCAGGTACTGAGGATGAACCTAGGGCCTCACACTGAGCGTTTCTGTCTTACTTTGAACAGGGGCTCCCTAAGGTGGCCAGGCTGAGCTTGTGTTTCTACCTTGCTGCTTCAGCCTCCTCGAGTGCTAGTACCACAGGCATTTACCGCACTGTCCCTCCCATTGCTCCAAGGAAGAATCCTCGGCTGCCTCTAGAGACCTCTCCATAGTAAGCCCCAGGGATCACCATGCCACGTTCACCTGCGACCAGCAGCCTCATCAACTACCTGGAGGTTCGCGGAGCCCAGGGCTCCCTTCCTGCAGGGCTTTGTGTGTGTGGTGTTTTTCTTGTGCCGCAGCAGCCTAAAGTGTCAGCTCTCCTCTTTGCTCCCCTTGAGCTGTGGGACTCAGCTCAGAGCCATCTCTTCTGGGAAGCCTCTCTCCACAAGTTTCCTGGAATGCGAGCTGAGCTGTCTGTGGCGTTCGCGTCCACGCCAAGGCTGAGGTCATGCCGGTGCAGGTCCAGGGCGCTGTGCATTCTGACAGCTTCTCATTCTGATTGCTCAGGGCCCTGGATGTTAAATGCTCCTTAGTCTTGCTTTCCAAGGCCTTGACAGAAAGCGCTCCATAAATATTTGCTGAATGAATCGATGTACAAAGTGCCCTGGGCTCCAAAGTCACCCCAGATCTCAGGGCTGCGGCAGCTCCCCTGCCCCGGTGCCGGGACTGAAGCTAGGGCCTGTGCCGTGCTAAACGTGTGCCGTGCTCATGGCCCTCTTCACCGAGGGCCCGGCACTGGAAGCAGCCTACTGAGTTTTCCTGAGCCACACTGTGGCAACCCTCGGGGCCTGGATGCCTTCACAGACAATCTCCTTCATCCCTGCCAGCGCTTCACACACCTGCCCTGTAAGAAGCCAGGAACCCCCCTGCCACACAAGAAACTGCCTCCCGCAGGACTTGGGTCTCCACACATCCTCGTCCAGAGCGAGCGCATTTGAGAGCTCAGTCTTTTCAGTTTACCAACCCACGCTGCAGGTTAAGCCTCCTACTTGAAGGAACTGCGAAGCGCTCCAAATACTTGCCGCAGTTATGCATTGGAGTCGATCCCCTTCATCAACTGGAAGAATTGCATTCTAAGCCCAGTCCCGTCGCTACCTCCATAGTGGGACGCCCGGTAAAACCCCTGTGTTCCCAGCCATCCACTGAGCCTGCTCTCCAGGGTCAGCCAGACTCTGGCGGGGGATAAACAGTCATTTGGGGGTGGAGTACTTGGGCCGGCTGTACAGTGGGACCCACGGAGCAAGTCCAGGCTCCCTTCCCTGGCAATCGAGACCTGTTCTGTTCTCCCTCCAGCCTTGGTTCTCACTCCTAGAAGCCCACACCTCCAGGAAGCCTGCACCCCAGAGCACGCAGCACCAGGCTGGTGCAGCCACAGAGTGCCGAGAGGCCTACCAAAGACGCCCACCAGTTAGACATAAGGATGCTGCCCTGACTCAGGCTGAGCTCAGACGCCCCAACTGGTACCCGATGCTGCGCTTGCCAGGTTATGGCCGGTGGAATGGCAGAGGCTTTTTAGCCACATCGTTTTCACTTCTTTGACAAATGTGCAAGGCTCTGGGTGGTGCAGGCCCAGCATGGGAAACACACACACACACTGACACACACACTCATCTCTGCCTGGCAACAATAGGAAACGCAGCTTCACCCGGACTGTCACAGCAGTTGAGCTTCCCCATGTGACAATGAGAGGGGGTCTGATTCCACCCGGCGCTCCGGGGACAGCTGCTAAGCTGGAATGCACGGTTTCCCTAAAGTCTAAGTTCTGAGTCCGGGAGTGAAAGGGGAACCAACATCAGGCTCTGGCCGTGGCTCGGACCGGCTCCTGGGCTTCCCTCTGGCACCCGTCGCCGGCTGTGGTCAGGACAGCAGCTGAGATCAGCCCGGGCGCGCCTGCCAAGGGCCTCACGGGAAAACCTCTCTGCTCTCTGCAGCTGTCTAGAAGAAAGCTGAGGGACACGGAGCCCGGTGACGGATGGGGCTGTGTGTTCTTCCCCTCGCTGCTGCGCATTTTCCAGTCAGAAAGCAGGGCTTATCTCTCCTTTTTAATTGATTTCAATGAGCTTAGCTAGGCTAGGTCAGACCTCGGCTCCTGTGTGGTCTCCCGTGAGCAGTACCAGGAGCAGTCCGAGTGTCGATGGGAGGCGCTGGCTGGGAGAAGCTGCAGAGGCCTGGAGACTGTGTCCTTGTGGGAGTCCTTGTCCCTCCACGGCTTCAGGGGTGGTGTGGGCATGGGCTCCTGTCACCTCTGGTCTGAGGGGCTGAGGCACGCAGATGTGTAGCTGCAGTCGTGGCCTGGAGGACCCTCATCCGCTACAAGGCTTTGGATTAGTACTAGTTTAACATTACTGTGCAAAATACACAAAGCAGTTCTTTTAAGACAGGCTTACTTTGGCTCACCACCTGGGAGGTTCCAGCCCCGGGTTGGGTGGTCCCATTCTTTGGGCCTCCGGTGAAGGCGGAGCAAACTGAGTCTACCAGGAGCTGAGTGTGGGACAGGACCAGCTGCCCACAATCCCCAGGGAAGGCAGGCCCAGTGTCCTGAGGACCTTCCTCGGGCCCCACTAAATGCTTTCACCGCTTGCCAGCAGGATCCCTAGGGAACAGGCCTCTAGCTTACGGGTCTTTGGGGATCCAGCCAGCCTGCTTCTCCGTGCTCACCCACCTCCTGTAGCTCGTCCCCTGGGCTTCACTTCCTCTGAAAACCCCTCCTCACCTTCCTCCTGCCCAGACCAATGGCCCAGCTTATCTGGTTTTCAGCCCTGTCCTGTCTTATTTAGAAGAGTCAGGGAAGAAAAAGCCGGTTGGGTACCCAGCACAGTGTTTAAAGCAGTGAACACTTGGTATTGTTTCTTTTCCACCCAGCTTGCATCCGAGATGACCGGATCCAGAGATGTCAGCAAAATAACTGGTAAGAGGAGGCCGGCAGGATGTTCTCCCGGAGGGGCTGGGTGACTGTTCCGGCCTCAGGATGAGACATGTATTATAAATGCCCTATCCGTTTTTCTGGGGAAAGGGGTGACTTTGGTCAGAGGAGTGGTTGTCAAGATTAGTTTCTAGAGAAAAACATCAGAGCGAATTACAAAGGCCAGAGACAGTGCTTCTATCCCAGAGTATGACTTCATTGTTGTAGAATGGGCCTGGAATGTGGTAGAAGTCAGCGACTTTAACATGGAACCACGGAGAGGGCTTTATCTCACAAAGCAGAGCCCTCTTGTGAGTCCTATCTATTCTGCCTCTGACGGTCTCCTCTGCACCTCTTCCTGTGGCCACCAGTTAATTCCCGCACAAATCCAGGGCCCCCGTAGGCCTAGGGAGGCCTCTGTCTCTGTGTGTTTCTTTGCCCCTGTGTCTTTCCTGTCTTTTAATGAGGAGAGTTGGTTCAATCTCACATTAAATTTGTGCCCGTTATTTTCTCATAGAGACACAAAGGCTGGTTTTCCAAAGTGTACACCTGCTTCCCACCGGATATCACAGCCTCTAATCCTCACATACACAGAAAAATGCTGCCAAACTCAGATTCACTGAAGCACAAATATCCACAAACATGCTGTCAAGACCTCTGAGTGGGCAGAAGTTTTACCCCAAGATAACAAATAAACACGCCTTCGTTTTGAAAATGCTGTAGAGGACATGAGATTCTTGGGCCAGAAAGAAAGGGCAGTTTAGTATTCACAGCAAGAACAGTAGCCAGAGTATCGGCGTTTTGGTGCCAAATCTCTCAGCACAGTGTCCACGGGGTCACGTCAAGGGCGTAGATGACACCTTGCTTCCGTGACAGGGAAGAGACTGAGCAGGAGCCCTGGATTCCTGCTACACATCGTTTTCACAGCCTGTTCTTTCAGGAGGGAGACACTAACCGTGCCTAGCAAAGCTGTTCCTTACACAGCTGGGAAGATAATCCAGAACACGGACAGCCACGCCACACTGTGCAAGCTGGGCAGAAACCCCAGCGCTCCGTGCAGAGTTATCTGCTGACATTCAGGTTCCCTGCCGTGCATCTGGATGTCTGCACACTCGTGGACAGGGACAGGGGCTGGGCTTTGCCCTCCCTGTGGGAACTGGTTACACCTCCAGCCACACTGCAGCTTCACCTCAGGGTGACCCTTTGAGTCTGAAAACCTGATCCCTTCCCTTCTGTGCTCACAGCTTCTGCTCCCAGGACAAAGCTTCGTCTTTCTGGCAAGGCTCTGGCCCCTGTGGCCCGCTTTCCACTTCTCCCAGCCCAGCACTCGGCTCCCGTCGCCGCTGAACGACGGTGTGCACAGTCCTGTCTCGCGACTCCCACATTTGTCCCTCAGGTGCAGCCCCTGTCTCGGCCTGAGATGTTTCGGGGAGAAGCTGTCCTCTGCCCTGGCTCTCTGCAGTTTGTGTTTGCGCTGTTTCTCTGAGATGTGAGAGAAAGGTCACCCCTGGCTCCATGGCCTTTCTCCTCAGCCCAGGCCTTTGTCTGACTTGTTTTGCATCCCTGTGGAGTGAGGCAGAGGCCAGGACAGGGGCCAGCGCTTGACAGAGAGGACTGTGGCCAGACCAGTGACGGGACTGCAGCGAGACCTACTGCCTAATTTGCGGGGCTCGGCGAAAATGAAGACGCGGGATCGGGATCCCTGGTATGGACATTGAGAATTAGAAAGCAGAGGCCCTTCCAAGCGGAGACCGTGGGTCCAGGCTAACTTGAGGCAACTTCACAGCCCTGAGGACCCTAGGAAGGCACAATCCCAGAGAGGGGGCCGAGCAGCGGCACAGAGCCGTGAGAAGCCGTGGGCTCCAGCTTGGTGAGCTCCCTCCGTCCCTGCCTCTCCTCCCTCCCTCCCTCTCTCTGTCCGTCTCCTCCTCCTCTCCTCTCTTCCTCTTTCATCCCCTTCCATTCTTCTTTCTTTCCCTTGCCCGCCTTCCTTCTTTCCCTCCGCTCTCCTCCCCTCCTTCTTCGTTTCCTCCCTCCCTTCTGGGTAGAGGAGGAGCCCAGCGCTGACATCATCTCGTTTCTTCCCTTTTTTCTGACTATGAGATCCCTTCCGCACCGGCTGGGAGGGCTAAGCTGGTATCAGGCCGTGGTTCCCTGCCCCTGAGGACCCTCCACACACCCACAGGAGACGGAACCCCGAGCCTCTCCCTTCCCACCCTGTCCTCCACCCAGACCCCTTCATCCCTCAGTTCTTCCCCTGCAAGGCTTTAGAATGCATCCTGACTGGTTAGTGCGGACGTGAGGAGCAGGGAACCGTGTTGACGCGGAGCCAGTCCTTTGATTACACGCGGCTGCACTACTAGGAGGAAACCAACTGTTTCTATTTGTCGTTCTGGTGATTCGAAGACCCAAACATGCCCAGGCCTTCATTTCGGGGTGTGCTAACTTTGGGCCATATTCACTTCCTGCTACGAAAAACGACACTGTCAGTATCCACTGTGCTCAGCACTCCTGGTTTTGTTGCCTGTTTTTAGTGGTTTGTGCAGACCCTGCTCTGAGCTGCTTTGTCAGCTTCACGGGGTCCCCACCACCACCTGCTTTGCAAAGGGAGATGGTTTCTGCCCCCAGTTCTGCTCAGTCTGAGCTCATGTCCTGTCTTATTTTGCAGGACAAGGTTCTTTAACTTTCCCAGGCACACTGCCAAGTGCTCTCACGTCACCTGCGTGACGGCACCTGTAAGCCACGACTCCTTGGCTTTGCCCAGTTAAGTCAGCACGGCTTTGGTGCACCGTGACGATGTCGGCACAGCCACGTGGGTCCCCAGGAAGGGGATGTGCTTCCGGGACACTAAACCCGCGCCAGGAAAGAAGGAAGACGGGAACTCTGGGTCCGAGGCTCTCCTGCTGGCTTGCCTAGGACAAAATCACAGCATTTCCATTGGACATGTGCTCGCCATTGTACAATCTCACGATGCTCCGTTCCACCACATGGAATGAAGGCTCCAATGGGCTGAGCGGAAGAGCTGGTTCTCCAGGCAGAGAGAGGCGGGAGAAGCGGAAAGAAAGGGCAGAAAGCAGGCTGGTCCTTCCGGCTGCTTCCCTCATACGGTGGGCACAGGGCCACAGAACAACAGGAAAACATCGCAGTGTTAACCGATCGGCTATCCAGTTATTCCAAGTTCCTTCGCCCGTAAGGGTCAGCGAGAGGGAGCTTCATTAGCATGCTGGCTGAAACTGGCCTGTTCAGGAAGACCTGGCTGCTGGCTCTGACCTGGGCTTCTCGGAGGCAGCTTTGTTTCACCGGTGATGGGAAACTAGTGGGAGCGGCTTCACTTTGGCTTTCAGCCTCGTCCATTGATCTCCTGTAATATTTATCCAACACAACACTCACTCGTTTCCTCCGAGGCTGCTGCCCTTTACTCTGTCTGGTACATATTTGGGCAATGACTTTCCAGTGTTTTCTCCTTCCTAGCTTCCCCCTCTTCTGCCTTTTCTCTCATTTGAAGAAGAACCACACTCTCCTCCATATCTTTAAAATACTGAATCTTGCCAGGCATGGTGGTGCACGCCTGTAATCCCAGCACTCAGGAGGCTGAGGCAGGAGGATTGCTGTGAGTTAGAGACCAGCCTGAGCTACATAGTGAGTTCCTGGTCAGTCTCAACTACAGTGAGACCCTGCCTCAACACCCCCCTCCAAATCACTGAGTCTGTGATCATTATGCAAAGACCCAAAGTCGTTTTCTGGGTCCCTGGCAGCCCCCCTGGCTGAATTTCCTCTGAGGACCCCAACTGCGTCAGTACCACTATTTCTTTGTCCTCCAGGTTTTTCTCTTTTGCAAATTACTTTTTCATGTTGGGGCAGGGGATTGGGGTGGTTGGTCTAGATGCAGAATTGAAAGCTCAAGTCCCTTTCAGAACCTGCCAGTGGGTATAGATTTTGGATCCCTGCCCTTTCCCAGTTGGCTGACTTAGATACACTCCAAAAGCCACGACCTTATCGCTGGCTTCCGAGATTTCATCACCTATTTAGGCCCCTGCCTTCCAGCAAAGATTCGCATCTTCCCACGGAGGCCCTTTCCCCAACACTCTTGGCTTCCTCTTTCTGGAACTCTGAGTGATGAAGGCCAGGCCCAGGAAGGCGTCTGCTCCCCTGGGCCCCTTGTGGGTTGTGAGTCCCTTGCTCGTCTCTTACCATCAGCTCCATACACGGTGGCCCCCAACCCTTCCTGATGAAGCTATGATCCAAGATCCTGAAACCACAAACATCTTCAGTCCCTCTAGAGGCTGTATTTTCTACCATACATGTCTATGATAAGGCTTAATTTATGAATTGGGTCCATTAAGAGACTAATGACAATAATAATCAAATATAATAAAAGGTATTCAAGAGCTGGATTTGATGGTGTATGCCTGAAATTCCAGCTCTTTGGGAGGCTGAGGCAGGAGGATTCCAAGTTCAAAGCCTGGCCAGGGCAGTTTTAATCACTTAGAAATAAAAAACAGAATGTCCTGGGGATGTAGCTCAGGGCAAAGCCTTGGGTTCAATCCCCTGTGCTGAAAAAAATCTTATTCAAAATTTAGAGGAGTTAGATAGCGCTTGGCCTTGGTAACTGAAACTACCCAAAGAGAAACCTCAGATAAAGGGCTTCATCTTCCCACTTTCAAGGCCTCAGCATGGTCTGTGGCTGCTCTGTCTGAAGAGGTTTCTGTGTGGGGTTTTATGCAGCCGCTGGGTGGAACAGGGATCACACTGCTCCCTCAGAAGTCTCAGGGTCTCCTGGGGAAGGCCAGGAGGGCCCCCACACTCTGGTTCGGAGGCCCCAGGAGAGCCCGGGGCAGGGCGTGGGCACAGCTGTGGCCCAGTCTCCAATATTGCTGGCCGGGTGGTGCTTAGGCAGGAAGGAGACACCCACGGGCCTGGGCACGCGGGGGGCAGGCGCTGGGAGGAGCCCTGAGGGGCCTGGTGGTCTCGAGCCCCAGAGGGGCTCCGGCTGGCCTCAGGAGGCTTTGTAGGGGGTGCAAGAGGGTGAGGACTGGAAGCGGGGCAGTGGCTGGCAAGGCTGAGAGGGCAGGAGGGCACTGGGCAGGCACCTGGGGTAACGGTGAGCTGGAACCCCACTGCAGGGGGAGCAGGCCACAGGGATGGAGGCCCGGGTGGGGCGCCGCAGCCTGAAGGCAACCTGGGACTCTGGAGCCCACGGGCAGGGCAGCTGCAGTCAGCCAATGGCCAGCCAGGCCCAGAAAAGTGTGCAATGGGACACTGTTGTCAAATCCGCCAGCCCAGAGCACCTGGGCAATCACCCTGTCCACTCACGGCCCCTGCCGCGCTCAGATGCCTTCTACCTCCCACAGGCCCCGATCTGCGCTGGCACTGCCTGCCCTGGGCCTCTCTGCACACCAGGCCGCCAGGAAGGCAGCAGGGGACCCCGGGTGTGCGAGTGGCCGCTGTGCTCCCCACTGAAGTCTGGCTTCCCCGCCCGTGGGCACCCTGACCCCACACGGGAGCCAGGCACCGGGGCTGTCAGCTGCCTGGGCTCAGGAGAGGAGAGTCTGGCAGCCCTTGGGGAACCCTGTGAAGCCAGGCAGTCTCTGGGCTCAGCCAAGCTGGCTCTCACAGTTGTAATGAGCTCGGCCCAGAAAAGGAAAAGGGAAGGAGCCTCCAGGCCCCAGGGCAGGCGAGTGTGCCAGGGCTCCCGACAGGCCCACCGCCCTCTGTGCTGTGGTGGGCGGCGGGCAGGACCTGAGATCACACCCAGGCCGGGGGAACCGTCCTCCCCACCACAGCCCACCTTCTCCACCACCCCAGAGACCCCATGGCGGGCAGCGGGATGGAGCTGTGTGGCCTCCCGGCTGGCCTGGGGGAACTGCTGGGGCACTCTGTTCTCCTGAAGTGTGAGCAGGGGTGGCCTTTGTGTTTACCAGATTCCTTGACCTCTATAGTGGCATCAGCGTCAGCGAGTCAGGCAGGAAGAAATCACTTCCACACACTCCTCGGAAGGAGGAGGAAGGGGGAGGCTGGTCTTGCCCCAGGTCACAGTAGAGCCAGCCCAGCCCCTCCCTCACCCCAGCCTCCCCTGAGGGTCCAGTGTGGAGGAGCTGGGGCGGGAAACACGGGGCGCTGCTCAGTCCCTAAGACTGACATTTCCTGGGGGCTGGGGGCCAAGGCAGTGAGGGCAGCTGGTATGAGGGTGACCGGTGAGCTTGGCGAGGTCTGGGCCTCTCCAGAGCCCCCTTGAGCGGGTACGTTGGGCTCGGGCAAGGGCAGCAGAGAACCCAGAGAACACAGCCCCGCGTCCGGCGACCCGCTCTTCATCCTGGGCTGCCTCTCTGACCTCACCTGTCCCTACGAGCTCCGTGCCCTGCCGGGCAGTTCCTCAGGTCTGCTACTCCCGGACCTGCCCCTGGGGTCTCCTAGCCCCTCCCAGGCTGTCTTCCCTGAGGGCAGGCACCCCACCCCCTCTGGCTGGTCTGTCCCAGGTGCTTGGCTGAGGGCCTGCGCAGCGCAGGTACTGGACACATTTGCGGGGTAAGTGGGCGGGCTGACCGAAAGAGCATGAATAAATGGGCCTCGAGACACAGGGCCCGACAGTGGGGCACCCGGTGTGATAGGGACGGGCACAAGAGACCCGCGGGCCTTCCCGGATGTACAGTATCCTCCTGCCCACCCAGCGTCCTCCCAGCACAATGTTGTCTGCCGTGGCCAAACAGCCCCCCCTCCGAGTGCACACGCTACTCGCTCCCGGGCCTGCTGTGACACAGCAGCCTGGTGAGAGAGGCACACGTTCTGCCCCTTTCCCGCCTCCTGGTGCAGACCTCTGCAAATCCTTGGAATCCCGGAGTGCTGTGTCTTCGTTTTTTTGAGACAGGTGTTCTGAGTTGCTGAGTTGTCAAGGCTGGACTCCAACTTCGGGTCGTCCCTCCTCCTCCAGCCTCCAGGGCAGGGCGACCACTCCCAGCCCAGTGTCTTTCGCACACTAATGAGATGGCTGGTTCCCAGGGAGCTTCAGCATGGGGCTGGTCACCAGAAGGCCCTAGCTGCTTAGAAGGTTGACCCCAACCAAGGGCCAAAGATGTCATGGATCGCCCCCCCCACGATGAAGCCCACAGATTTCACTGAGGGCACCAGGAGGGGTGAGGGGTGTGCTGACCCCAAGGCAGGAAAGCTCCGAGCCCCTCCCATGCTGGCCCAGCCCTCTCTCCGCCCGCTGTTCTTCAGAGTCCTTGTAACATCCTTTTTGATAAATGGGTAGATGGGATGCAGTGTCTTCCCAAATTCCGAGGGCCTCTCTAAAGAGGAGTCCCAGTATTGAAGACGGGTGCGTTAATTAGATGCCTTGTGGGCAGTTAGACTGGGCCAGTCCCGGAGAAGCCCAGGCTGAGGACAATAAGACACATTCACTGCAGCCAGAACTGTAAAAGGAGAGGAACTACCACACCCTTGTGCCTCTCCCCTGGGGTAAAGAGCAGTGATTGATATTCTAAATAGGTATCAATCACCTAGGTGGTGGGCCAAGGCCTTAAACCAGCCTTTCCAGGAAATGTCCCTGACCCCACCCTTACTGAACATCCTTGTACTTTTGCTTGCTGTGTGACTTGCTTCCCCATTGGACCCCCACTTAATCAATATTACCTGGGTGACTGTACTTGTAACCTTATTGGTTAGCCATGGATTTGTCCCACCTCATGCCCACCTTGTAATTTTCCATTGGGTCTTACAGTTTTGTCCCAGTTTGTACCCGCCTCACTACATGGCTTGGCTACAAAACAACTTTGAAAAGTGAGTGGTGCTCAGCCCACTTTCCTGTCCCCCTTCTGTCTCTCAATATTTTTTTCCTATGCTTAACCTCCATTGTTCTTAGAATTCATTCTTCAGTTTTAGCACAAACTCACGTTTTGGACATCTAGCCTAGCTGATTTGGGGTTTACATCTCTGCCCCCTGTATCACCAGGACCCCTGACAAGTGGCAGAGGTGCAGGTCGCAGCTGCGACTGTGATTGGCACTGGGCATAGGGGGGCAGTCTTGCGGGTGGAAGCCTCAGGGTGGGCAGCTATGCCCAGATACACCTGTCAGAATCTGGTCAGGTCAGAGCTCAGCCGGCTGGCATCTGCGAGGGCATCGTGGGTGTGGGGGGCCCCGAACCGCTGGTGTGGAAGTGTGGGGACAGCTTTTCTCTCCCACCACCTAGCCACACACCGCTCCACTGCCTCTCCCTCCTCCCTGCCCCTTATTAGCTCTCCCTTCCAACACCTTCCTCTTTGACCTTTGACCCCGTTCCTCCCTGCCCCACCCCAGGCTTGCTCAGCAGCCCCTGGGAAGTTCTCTGCTTCCCACTGTGATTTCAAGGGTGCTGATCTCTGTCAGCTGCATTAATGAATCGCAGCCCAGGAGGCGCCAAGCTTCCTAAAAATATCTGAGAATCTGCAGAGCAGGGAGGCCTGAGAAAGGCTGTGAAGGCAGGTGTGCATTCTCAGGGAGGTGGCCGGCCCTGCTGGCCCCATCCTCCGCTGCTCTGGGCCCGAGCCCAAATCCATGGGCACAGGGCCAGATGCTTGGCCAGAGCTTTGTTCTCCTGTACATCACAGCC